CGAAAAAATGTGAATCCCGCATGACGAACAATGAAATGATTTTTAATGAGCCTTCTGAAAAGTACATGTACTGTATTGTGTTGATTGACCTGTAAAAGAGTTACACGAGTTTTTCTATTGAGATGCACCTCGTGTATAGAAAAGGATATAGTTGCGGTTTGTGTGCTCAAAGCAAACAATGGGCACGATTATCTGTTGGGCGTTGATCTCTTCCAGGTACGTTTGAGAGAGCATCCCGACGCACGACGCATTGTTGGACCTGGAAAAGACTAATGCGTCTTTCCCAAGACGCATGGATCCAGATTTGAAACCGTTGCCATACATCCCAATGGGCTCCACACCATTTACGGCAACTTTGTCGCTGTAGCCGAAGCTTAAAAAATACAGAAAGAGGCACATGTGAAACAAATTGCAGTTTTACAAAAATAAACAACCAGATGGAAGTATAATTCTAATTACCGATCAGCAGAAGAGCTTGAGCAAGGCTTTGCTAATAATAATGTTCAGTTTTGATTGGCTGACAGGGACAGGGAGGTATTCATTTCACAATATGTTCACTATTGCTCTTGCAGTTTGCATTATTGTGTTGAATTATACTGAGTGACATTTCTTGTACATAATATATAAGAGAAATATATATGTGGTTTAGCATTAAAACGGGTAAAATATCAGACACGGCTCTAAATGTGTAAAGACAGAAATTTCAATGCTACTTTTTTATTGGGTTTCAATCTGATTGTACTAGTGTACTAAATATTGAAGCACTATTCCTCTGCAACAGATCAGAGGCACCTTTTTAACTACATCGTATTTTAAAGGAGAAGAAGCTGAACTACAACCATCACTCAATGCAACACGGGTATAGAAACAGAAGTTCAGAACATTCAATCAGATTCTGAAATTCTCATATCCATTTAGAAATGATAGTGGAGACAATAATTTATTGATCGTATTTTTTTGCCGTTTTTAGTCTCCATGTTCAAGGTGTGGCTACCTGAGCATTTTGTGCATGGCCTCGTGGTCCAGACCATTCCCATTATCCATGAAACTGAGGCATTCATGTCCTTCGACAACAGTCTTATCGATCCAGAATGCATCGGCCTGGACATCTGGATCGCAGGCATTGTCTGTCAGAATGAATGAGAGCAGCTGTTTGTTTTCTTGTTAACATCAAGTAGTGTTGGCGGAACAAAAGAATGTCTGGACGAGTGTCAAACGGACACACTCATTATAATGACAATTGCCACTGATATATCTTGAAAGGCATTGTGGTCTGCAATTCAAGTAAATTTGGAATGTCGAAATCGTAGGGCAATGCAGCATTTAGCAAAACCATTAATCATTCAGTTTGTATGTGCCAAGTTCACTCCTTGGCTTTTGTTGCAGTTTATGACCATAATTTGAAGGGGGCAAAGTCCATAAGCATATCTAAGTGAGTGATAAGAAATCATGGAAAAATAGCATTCCCTAGGGAAAATCGAAAGTGAGACTAAATTAAGCACGCTACATGCAGATATCATGGTGAGCCAATATCACCATAGAATGTCTGAGATTAATCAATTTCACTCCCAAAAACTGAGGTATTCAATTAACTTCATATTAACTGAATTAAAGAGACGCTGTATTATGAGAAGTGCATAGTGGTCAAAATTCCACACTTTTAAACTGCAAGTAGACAATTTACAGATATTCAAACAGCAAAACACGAGTTTGCTGACAGGGTGGAAATTTTTGTCAAATGTTGGCCTTTTATGAGCACATGGTGAACCTTTCCTTAGCAAATTTTTCAGGAGAAACCTGATTCTGTACTGTTTAACAAACATATTTTTAATTTCCGGAAGGTTTTTATATCACTTGATTTTTCTCTGACGGTGATCATTAAATTTGACAACATCCAACTGCAATATTCTGTCGTTTATCTTCGATGTTACGTTCCAGATCACCCTAATACACAAAAAACAGCAAAGTAGTGACCATTCATTTATTTTAATATTTCTATATTGTAAAGCTTTATGCAGTATGTCAACAATATATGCACGCAAGGTGCAGGTATTATTTTGGTCCACCTGGGGTCAACATTCTGACTTTCTACACTGTAGTATCTGCTTTTCAAAGACTGGGTGGGCCTGTTAAGTGACAGTGAAGTCTGTGAATGATAACACAGGTCTATTGCAATTTTTAATCAGAGATGACTTTATGTGTCATTATGTCTCCTAACCCTATGTATATAACCCTCCACGCTTCCGATTTCAGATTATTTTGGGGTAGAAAAAAAAACAACTTTTATACTCAAGAAATTACAGTATGTAACTGAGATTTTTTTTTCTTTCTTGTATTCCACTTAGGTCATGATGACTCACCTATGAGCTCAGCAATGGCACTGAAAGGCCAGGTGTGGCTGGTAGAATTGGTATGAAGGTACTTGGGAGAAAGCTGCAAATGAAGCAAAAACAATGACAACAGATCTTCAGTAAACATGCCTGTGAAACTTGTCATTTACCCCACCGAAACACATTTTATTTCAGATTTGGATTCTTGTCAGTTCAGCACAATATGGCTAAAGATGGTGATGACAATGAATTATGATGTCATACTGATAAACCCTTTAAAGTAGCTTTCATTAAAAAACAAAAAAAACAAAGCAAGAATGAAGATGATAATCCAGGATAGCAAGATCCGTACTTGGCTGTCAGTACATTTGGGTGGACAAATGCAACACTCCTTTTTTCTGAATCCACCCTGTCGCAAACATGCACTTAGGTCAAAACATGGCATTGACTGTGTGGGATTTCTTCACTGTTTTGAGGAAGACATTTTGTGAATTCCTTGCACCAAATGTTCTGCAAACAATCCACAAGTAGAGGGGCCTAACAAGCTTCAACACAACAGCGTCTCCAGTTGCAACAACTTCAACAAATCTTATCAGCCACTCAAACACGGTCATCGCTCAAGCAGTATTTTCATAGTTTACAAAGAAACTGCCTGAAAGCCAGTCGCAAAGAAAGACTTGTTTACGTTGCCGCAGCTTTTGGAAAAGTATTAAACTTTGTACCAGAGAGGATCTGAGGGCTCACACAACCTCTGATTTCATCATGGAAATTATGGCGGTTGACACCCAACCCTTTGCAATCGTTGAGGACACTGGCTTTTGTTGGCCAATAAACCATTTGGTGCCACGGTTTGTACTTCCGAGCCGCGACTATTTTTCAAAAGAATGTTTGCCAGCAAAATATGATGTAATCTCCAGACTCTTGCGTATGCTGATAGATGGAAATAAGTACATCAGGGTTTATTACTGATTTTTGGATGTGTGATTTTAGCCTTGCTAGCTTGCTACGCATGATGCATATTGGCTGGATGAACACTTCCTGAATTATGAATAAGCCGCCACTAAATATTATTAGGGGTTATTATTCATAATTCAGGAAGTGTTCATCCAGCCATGCCACTAAATATTATTAGGTGTTATTATTCATAATTCAGGAAGTGTTCATCCAGCCACTATGCATCATATTGGCCCGCCACTAAATAATGATTTTTTTTTTTAGGCTGATGACGATTTTTGGCAGACAAAAATAACTATTCATTAGCCAATTAAAAAATGTGTATACATATATTTGCGTTTGGTACAAGTGTGTTCCGACTACAGCTCTATTCCAGATCATCTTTACGTTATGAGACCTATTTTATTGGGTAACACCTGTATTAAGTTAAATGATATGAACACTGTACACTTACAGAACACTTTCAGAGATATTGCTGTAGGCTACATTTATTAATAATAGTCAAATTAGTTGTAGTGCTTGCTCCTTATCTCATCGCTTCTGCTAATTTAGACGTCGTGTTTGACCAGGCAGCGTTTTAAATTCAGCTAAAGGAATTTGACCGTTGACGAACGGCGATATGTCGTGAAAACGCTGTAAGTAGATTGTTGCAGCCGAGAAACCCCTTATTTTCGACTACTTACAGTGCTCAGAGGAATGCCGCGGTCCTGCCGTACAGCCATTGCAGTTCTTGGCGGCGGAAGTGACGTCTTACAGGACCTCCAAGCATTTAAGTGCAAACATTGATGTACTGTGTCAGTGTTGAAAACGTTTATGTACTGTGTCAATGCAAATAAGTGTGACTTTTACATGTGTTTACCATGCGATATTAATATAACCGATCTTATTTTTTAGTTTTTTTACTTACACATGGCTAGCATTTTTTTAACTATCCTTCGTCACTCAACATACGGTCAGTTTCGTTTTCTACGGATTTCAGAGTTTAAAAAAAAACGGAGTGAAAACAGATGTGCCGTGTTGATGAAAAGTCTGACTTTTACATGTTTTTAGCGTGGGATGTAACGATAACCGATCTTGCATTTATTTTTGTACTTACACATTTCTAGCACGTGCATACGTGTCCGTGTGCGTGCGGACAAAAATAAATTTATTAGAAGCAAAAGACCACATCTAAACAAGGGGTGACAATAGCTCTCGCTGTGGTAAATTTTAGAACTACAGTTGTCAATCGTAATAGGCGGGCACAGATAATTTTGGTTTGATTATCACTGATGCCGATATTTAAAATACCTGGCCTGGCTATACCCATTTTATTCCTTCACTGTTATTAGCAGACACTTTCGATGTTCCAATTTTGTATTATTGTAAAACAGTGAATATCAGTGAAACAATACAAACGGCTTGTTTTAACTGCACATGAGGTTCTCTCAAATAAAACTGAAAAGCCAGTTAGTCATCTCACAGCAGAAGAGGACAGCGACTGACTTTTTCATACCTTTGCAGATGGAGATGAGATCAGTGGAGAAAATCGGTTTCATTTTAAGGGATTGGCCTATCACCATTCCCCCAAAATTAAGGAAAACGGCCTTGATACTGATCCTGGCCAATCGATTGGTGCACCCCTCGTCAATTGCGTTGCATGGCATATCAAGATGGGAAATAATTTGCCGCTTTCTATGGCTTTGGGTAAAATAACATGACATAACGTAACCTCTTAATTTACTTAATTTTTAATTTCAACTTTGACATGGTCCTTTCAACATCTGCAATAATTTAAACAATAACACATATCTTAACATAGACAAGGCTAAAACTTAGCAGGAATTGGTAAAAGTAATTTTGGAACACTTAAATCATATTTCCCTTAATACCCAAAATGGCATGTAAACAACATAAAATATAAGTATAAACCGGGGGCTGTGAGATCCAAAAACAATCAAGAGACACCTCAAGACTAAACAGAACATTCTCGAGGTCAGACATCAGAAGACGAATGTTTAGTCGATAAAATTGGTGGCGCTCGTTAGTTGTATTCAAGTACAGTACACGGCTACTGAATATTTGAAAGGGGTCCACACCCCAACACCACAATTTAAGATGCGGGTGGCCAAAACACAACAATGCAAAATAAATCCATTGCGGGTCCTTTCTTATAAATTAGTGAGGACAACATTCAAGACGGTCTAAATATACTCCCAACGCCTGCAAAAAAAGCACAATTAAATAGTTTACCACACAGCCTCTCTGCTTTTTAAATACATATTTGGTGTATTTTTGTGCAGATCTTTGAAAAAATGTTCAAATAAATTGCAGTTTTCATATGTAGCAGTTAACAAAAATGCACTGTGCCCATTTTCAGAGTCCCATTCCATTCAGTTCTCCATGTCATCCAGGAACTCTTCCTCAATGATACGCTCAAGCCTGTCCAACACGGCATCTGCGCTGGCTGCTGGGTAGTCTGCTACCTGAGCCGCGTGAAATGAGTGGTTATGAGTGGGCGGCCCCTGGAAGGAACAGCATAGGGTAAAAAGGAAAGGTAACAAGTGGGTGATTGAGGACATGGAACATTGGGTGAGGAGTGGGAATTCCAGGTGCTCGGTAGCAGATTCCTCACTCAGCCCGTTGAGGGTCTGCAAAACAGGTGCACAAAATTCCATTAAGTGATTTTGCATTTATCAACAAAGAGTTCAATCTATATCTGATTTTACCCCGTAACGTTGCTGTATTCCCTCCAGTATTCGGACAACGTGGGGCTTGCAATCCTGTTCACCCTCTATCAGCGCACTCTCCGGACCGCTGTACTGGTTCACATCGACTTCTGGAACAAATGCCCACCGATACCTGCACACAGAATGTGGTGTCTTTATTGTTTGCTTTTTAAAAGTACAGATGCCTGAATTGAGAATCGGTTCTTTCCTAGCCAGAGCCCTCAGAGCTACATTTAATGCTGTGTTTCCCTCATGTCCCTCATCCATACTTGCAAAACAAAAATCGTCATCAGTCTCACTGATTTATCAGGCTCCTTCAGGAACCAGGACTTCAACCACCCTTCCCATTTGCATTTCACTCACTGAGTTTTCCTGCTGTCTGTATGTCTGTCTCCCAAGTTCCTGACCCAAATACTTTTGATTAAAATTTGACTTGGCAGAAGGTTTCAAAGGGTTTAAAATTCCCAAATGTTGGCAATGAGTGCCCATTACTTTAAAAATCCATTACATTTGACCTTGCTTACTGGTGTCATGTCTTTTGAGAGACAAAAAAAAAGACTGCATTTTGTGATATCTCTGTCTTGATTTTTTTCCAGACTTTTTTGCTGTTGCACACATGTTTTTGGGGAGTTTTCCCATTTTGTATTTGTGTGTTAGACTGTCCCGCACAATCAGCGGCTGAACCCCTCTTAAGTGAGGAGTAGGACTCATGACACAGAATATAGGCCACTGCCCAAACAATCAATGTAGCACCACATCTTCATATGATGACATTCCTTTTCCCAAATAAGAGCGCTTACATCTGAAAGAGTGGTATCCTCTCCGGGGGGAAGGCTAAGGATGTATCCAGAAACTTGCAAGCCGACAGATACATGTCCAACTCTGCCTGGGAGAAATTCACAGGAGCATTTCTGTCGAAGGCTCCACGTACGACTTTAGACAGCCTGGGAACACAATTATTATATTAGTATATATAGCAGTTACCTATAATGACATGGTCAGGATTCTGAGATTTAAAAAAAATGAGCTCACTTTGAGACATCTTTTTCTACCAGCAGAGCTTTCTCGAGACGTGCAAATATGCGAATCTGAGAAAAAAAACAAGCAAATGATTATTACAATTATTAGACTGTATGGGCTGTGGTTGAAAATTGTTTAAAATATTTACCAGCTCTGTGACCATTATCGGCCAAAGAGATGTCAGGTGCTGGCAGGAAATCCGCAGCAGAAGAACACGGAACATCAAGAATATCTGAGCGGAAACAGCTGGGCTGGGATTCATTCGTAAAGCCTCCGTGAGGCGCTCTGGTAGGGAACAATTTTGTTCACATCACGACCCATTGATTGGAAATGTAAAAGGAGAACGTTTGTAAATTTGCTCACTCACAACGAACTTAACAGTACTCAATTCTGATTAGGTAATAGATGGAAAAATTATTTAAAGATGCATTAAAAAAACACAAATATTTGGTACAAATTGACATGCTTGTGACAAAGTATTTGATCCTCAAGAATCAGCAAGATGAGAGTTGAATTCATTCTTTCACCATGCTCAGAACTCTCAACACTGTGTCCTCAAATCATCTTTACCGATTACAATGAATGGAAATGCTATTGGCTATGGAGTTTCACCAATTGTGTGTTACATCTGTTTAAAATGAACATACTGTCAAACAAACAAAAATTGGAGAGTGTAGCAGAGTATCAAACTACCCCGACTGTCCATAATATTCGGAAACGTCTCACCTTGAATGAGGGGTAGATAGAGATGATACTGATCGAGTTCTCCACTAAACATTGCAAATGCCTGCCGCTTGAGGAGCATGGGTTTCTGGTCGACATTGGCAAACAGCTTCAAGGAGCCACTTTGCATGCCTACAATAGTCAAAATCAAGTGTGGTGTTCACATAATTGTCCCTTCTCCTGTATCTGCCATGTCATCAAGATGCGTGTACTCACTGATGAGGTCTTTAAACATGGTCTTCTCGTGAGTCAGTAAGTGGTCAATTATGGCTTTCCAACTGGATAGAACACACACAAAGATTCTTTATTAGACATTAATCATGCATCATCGCCGCCGAGGAATATAAATAAACATTAAAAGTAAAGATGACGAGGAAAATGTTAATTCAAAAACCTTTCAGATGCAGAAGTGGGGATGCTGTGTGTTAAACATAAAAACAGAATACAATGATTTACAAATCTTGTTCAACCTATAAGTACACTGATTTGAATGAAACGACAAAGACAAGATATTAAAAGTTCAAACTGATAAACTTTCCTGTTTTCTTAGCAAATAATCTTTAACTTTGAATTCCATGATTGCAACAAGTTCCCAAAAAGCTGTAATGATGAAAGAGCGTGGTACTAAATTGGTCTGCTTGAAGTCCAGACCTGCCTCCCATTGAAAATGTGTGGCGCATCATTAAGTGTCAAATACGAGAAAGCCCAGCTGAAGCTGTACATCAAGCAAAAATGGGAAAGACTTTCACCTACAAAGCTTCAACAATTAGTGCGTTCGGGTCCCAAACATTTATTGAATGTTGTTAACGGAAAAGGCGATTTAACTTTTTTGGAATGTGTTGCAGCCACAAAATTCTATTCTAGTTATTATTTGCTAAAAACGATATCAGTTTGAACATTAAATATCCTGTCTTTGTAGCGCATTCAAATATACGTTGAACATGATTTGCAAACTATTGTATTTTTAACACAATGTCCCAATTTCATTGGAGTTGGGTTAGTATATCAATGATCAAACTACCTGGGTGCACAGGAGGCATCCATTGTGAAGAAAAGGGGATCCATGAAGAGCTCAAAAACCTCTTTCCTCCAGGCTCTCTTGCTGTAGGCATAACCACTCAAGCTGCTCAAGAGCTGCGCTCCGGCCTCAAAGCTGGGCATATTGTAGGCACTACAAAGAGAGAACTTCATTTTAGCATCTAACAATCCTAAAGTACCAGTACTTCTTCTTCTCCTTTCGGCACGTCCCTTTTCAGGGGTCGCCACAGCGAGTCATTAATTCCCATCCGTCCCTGCAAACCGCCCTATCAACTCGCATGTCCGTCTTGGCAAAAGTTTTACGCCGGATGCCCTTCCTGACGCAACCCTCCCCATTTCTCCGGGCTTGGGACCGGCACCGGGGAACAGTGTACCCCCAGGGGAGTAAAGTACCAGTACTTACATGGTGAAAAATAAAATAGTTACCTATGATTCTTCAAGTAGGGGAAAACGTAGTACATTAGACGAGAAATGAGAGGCACTGCTTTCTCCTTCTCGTCACTGCGGTACACCATATCAAGAAGTGGTGCCAAGACCTACACAAAGAGAGGGGAGGAAAAAAATAAAAAAGACAACACACACATTATTCTCCCCGCGGGAGCAAGCTGTTGTGTGTGTAGCCACTCTCACACACACACACACACACACACACACACACACACACACACACACACACAC